TCATTTTCCTTTGCTCAACTGCTATTCATTACCTGATCCAGATGTCTGCCTCTAATTGTCCATCATCATGATGCCAACAACAACATTGGCCTCTGTGCCAAACCACAAATATAACCATTACATTCTGAAGTTGCCATAAGGCCTGGAGAAAAATGTCCTGACCTTTCAATAGAGGCTTTATGTGTGAAAATGGGCAGCTGAGGCTCTTCATGACATGAAGGTAAATAACATCACCTGGTAAATAGCATCTCATTAAGACTATTAATAGGCCAGAACATTTTTTTACTCCAGGTAGTTAGCAACCTCACATCGAATGAAGGTCATGTAGATAATTCAGGACTTGGTTCTGAGCAGAGCTCGAGTCCTGGTACAAGTTGTAATGTCATTACACCAATGGGATAGTGCTGTTAAATTCACCATTTCTGACAGTGGATAATTCCCTTAAAAGACCAAAATGATTATATTTGATTTCAAACAAGGGACCTTAATAAAAATTAGCAACTAGTTATGGGGAAGCTGAAACCAATGGTTCCCCAGGAGGAAATGTCTGGTTTGGAGGGTGAAGTCTATGGCATTGTACCTGTCTGAGGTCCCACCCCTCCTCAAACCTCACCTTCTCCAGGCTCCACCACTCAAATCTCCAGGAATTTCCCAAACTGGAATTGGGAACTCTATCTCCTTCCCAGCCAACCATCATCCTGCCATTATCTGCCCCACTGATTTCAGTTTCCATCTCCTCCCCACTCCCTCCTGGAAAGTAGTTGTAATTCTGAGTGATCTCCAGCCCTCACCTGGAGATTGGCAACAAATGGTCCCTGGGAGGGAATTGCTGGTTTAGAGAGTGGAGTCTATGGCACTGTACCTGTCTGAGGTCTCACCCCTCCTCAAACCTCACCCTTTCCAGACTCCATCCCTCAAATCTCAAGGAATTTCCCAACCTGGAGCTGGCAACCCTAGTCAGGACTGGCCCCTCTAAGGCCTGGAAAGGGTTTCATTCCTTTGTCTTTTTACTGACAGAACCAAGCTTGGTTGACTAGTAACAGCCACTGAGGGAAACGTTAGTCCCACAAGAGCCAAGCAGAACTGTCTTCGTCAGGAGATACAGCTGTTTGGCAGTTATTCTGACAGGGAACAGTGGCTGAGGTTGCAGTGGGCGGGAAACAGGAGCGGACCCAGCACACAGCCAATGGCATGCGATTACTCTTGAGTGGCAGTTCATGGGCCAATGGCTGATGGAGCACACAACACAGCCAATAGGAGAGCTGGAAATGGCCAATAGAAGCCCTCCCACTGTTGCCCCCCCCCCCAAGCACCAAGAATACAGAGCCTCACTTGCTCCGGACCGAGAGTTCCTATCTATACCTTGTTAGTAATAGCCACTGATGGACCTCTGCTCCATACGTTTATCCAATTCCCTCTTGAAGCCATCCATGCTTGTAGCCACCACCACCTCCTGCGGCAGTGAACTCCATGTTTTAATCACTCTTTGGGTGAAGAAGTACTTCCTTTTATCTGTTCTAACCTGACTGCTCAGCAATTTCATTGAGTGCCCATGAGTTCTTGTATTGTGAGAAAGGGAAAAAAGCACTTCTTTCTCTACCTGCTCTATCCCATTCATAACCTTGTAAACCTCTATCATGTCACCCCTCAGTTGACGTTTCTCCAAGCTAAAGAGCCCCAAGCGCTTTAACCTTTCTTCATAGGGAAAGTGTTCCAACCCTCCTATCATTCTAGTTGCCCCTTTCTGAGGTGTGGTGACCAGAATTGTCCACAGTATTCCAAATGAGGTCACACCATCAATTTATACAGGGGCATTATGATACTGAGCATTGGCCCTTTTTATTGCAGTCGCACACTGTCTCAACATTTTCATTGAGTTATCTACTACAACTCCAAGGTCTCTCTCTTGTTCAGTCTCCACCAGTTCAGACCCCTCCAACATGGGGCTACCCTTGTCACAAATTCAGAAGCTACAGCTAGTGCAGAATACTGCGGCCAGGCTTTTGATGGGTCTCCCCAGGTGGGAGCACATCCAGCCTGCGCTGAGGACACTGCACTGGCTGCCAGTAACATACCGAATTAGCTTCAAGCCAACATACCTGAGGGACCGCCTTTCCCCATACATACCCCAGAGAGCACTACAGTCAGGGTCTCAAAATCGACTGACCCTCCCGGGTCCCAAGGATGCCAGGCTTGCTATCACCAGGGCCAGGGCTTTTTCAGTGGTGGCTCCACACTGGTGGAATGAGCTCCTGGAGGAGATCAGAGCCCTGCATGATCTTTTACAGTTCCACAGGACCTGCAAGATGGAGCTCTTCCACCAGGCTTTCAATTAAGGAGCCGCCGCCACCATGCCATCAACAACCTTAATTATAAAGCCCTGGTTCTTGGTTTTTGGCATCTAGCCTGTGCCGCCCTAGTACTAGGAAGATCATGAGCAGAATGAGTGTTAGACCTCTGTGTGTCATCCTAAACAACTAATTAATCAGCACCAGCACTTTATGAATTATTAATTCATTGTTTTTATTTTTTATTTTCATTATATTTTATTTATGAATTGATTTGTTTGTATATGATTTTATGTGGATTTTGTTATTTATGTATTGATCAATGTAAGCTGCTCTGAGCTTTGCAGGGAGGGCAGGGTATAAATCAAATGACTGATTGGATTTTTGGCCCCAATGTGCATCACTTTGCACTTGGCCACATTGAACCCCATTTGACACAAGAGAAAAAACAGCAAAGAGCATTGTTAAATTCTGTCCATCACAAGGAAGGCACTATGTACTGGCTGCTCTTAGACTGTTTAAAGTGAAATCACTGGCCCAGCTATTATATGGAACAATTTTAGGGCCCCCGTCATCTTTCTTCTTTCCACTTGAGAGAGTGCAGTCTAAACTCTTAAGGGCAATACTGCAAGTACCCAAATGTGTACCAAACTCCTGGGTCGAGGCAAGAATCTGTATGCTATCGATCTACAAATGGCTGTCAGTGAACACTAACTCTCTAAGACTCTTTTCAATCCAGTTGGCAGAAAGTGGTTTTGGGAACTATAGGAAAACTAGGTTTATCTCCCCAAGAACTTTTGAACCATGGGCCAGACCAAGCCAAACTACTTATTAAACAAAGAATGTCAGATATAGAAAGACAAACGGATATTCATAGAACTCCAGGTTTTATCTCTCCTCCAAATTTAAGATTTGTTGCTGCTCCTGTTGCATACTTATATTTTCTTGAATCATATAGTTCCAGAAGGGCCTTTACATTGGCAAGAAGTTCAACTCTACCTTCCGCTGTTCTGGAAGGAAGGTTTAAATCAGTCCCCTATAAGCACAGGCTCTGTTCTTGTTCTTTAAAGGAAATTGATTGAATGGAACATATTTTCTTTAACTGCCCTAGGCACAAAGAAATTCGGTCAAAATTTATTGAGCCGCTGATCGGAAATTTCCCCAGCAGATCAAACAAAATTAAACTTGATTATCTTCTGTCTGATATAAACCATGAAACAACCCGAATAGTGGCTAAATTTTGTGCACAGGTGTACAAAGATCAGAGAATGCATACAGTAGCTTGAGTGGAATTTTTAAAGTTGCGAAATTTGATCGTTTGATTTTATGTAAACCTTTGTGTATGCTGGTCATTGACTGTAAAATAAAAATGTTGTTGTTGTTGTTGAACCCCATTTGCCACGTTGATGCCCACTCACCCATCCTCGACAGATCCCTTTGGAATGTCTCCCAATCCTCCCTGGTTCTCACCACCCTGAACAATTTAGTGTCATCCGCAAATTTAGCCACTTCACTGCTTACTCCCAATTCCAAATCATTAACGAACAAGTTAAAAAGCGTTGGACCCAGTACTGGGCCCTGCAGTACCCCACTGTTTTCCACCTTCCACTGTGAAAATTGTAAAAGACCTTTAGGGTAGTAGACAGCACACCATCCAGAGAACCATCATTTCCTATCCTCCGAAAGAATTACACATGAAGCAGAAACATTTATGCCACCTTCCTTGTCTTCAGCACAGCCATTCTGGAACACACAACTCCATTTGTGAAGAATACTTTGCCATAACAAAAGGATAAAGTTGTGAGTTTTCATTGATCAGTTACAAAATGGTGGGGAAAAGGCCGTCTAAAGTACAATCATGAGGGTGAAGGTATCGTAAATGGGGACAATGGGTGTATTGATGATTTAAAATTGTATCTGAAACTGCTGCAAACTTCTTTAGGGCCTGCTGGTCGAAAAGATGGCTAAATCCACAAAACAAAAGAAATCAGTATCTCTGGTATCTCCCTCCCCCCAAGGAAACAGAATCTGATTTCTTCAGTTCCTCCTTTTTTCATATGTAGCTGCCTTTTTGCTGTTCCCAAACTGAGAGGAAAGCTAGGAAGAGACTGCTCTTGGGTTGCTGTCTACTCCAATTCGGTTGCAGCACCTTTTGACAGACTCAAACAGTGCTGGAAGAAAGCACCCACTCTTCAATTCCTGCCAGTTAGGCATCTTTTAAAGGCACAAGAGTCTCCCCCACGCGGTGAGGGGAGGGCTGTGAGCTGATAGCGTTGCCAACCTCCAGATGGGACCTGGGGATCCCCAGGAATTACTGTTCATTTCCAGACTACAGAGATTACCTCCCCTGGAGAAAATGGATGCTTTGGAGGGTGGACTCTGTGGCATTGTATCTCACTGAGGTCCCTGTCCTCCCCAGGTTCCATCCCCAAATCTCCAGGAGTTTCCCAGCCTGGATCTGGCAACCCTCCCCCGTCCCCTTCCGGTGGCCAGGGGGGACCTGGCAACCCTAATGGCCAGGAGTCGTTAAGCGGAGGTTCGCCACCTTCCTGAACCCCTCCCATCTCAGGAAAACTCCCTCCGCCCGCGAGACTTTCGACTGCTGCAGGCACGGAGCACTGCCACCCATCCATTCCCCTGGCGGCCTCTGGGAGGCGGCAAAGAAGGAAGGCGGCAGCCGGCTGGGGAGCTCCGGAAAAAGGGAGGCGGCGAAGGACGGAAGGAAAGAGGAGGAGCAGCTGATACTACGGCGACAGCTTGTGCCAGGCCATGGCCGTGGTTGGGCTGCCTGAGCAGCCGCTGCTCAAGTAGGAGAGAGCGCGCAAGGGAGAGTCTCCTGGCTCCTCGCTTCCTCGGCAGAGGCCCCAATGCCGGCGGCGGCCAGCGCTGCGGCTGTGCCGAGGGCTGGGCTCTGAGCGGCTCCCTCCTGCCTGCCCTGCTCATTCAGCCCTCTCCCCTGCTGCGGGGGAGCGCGCGGCCGCCGACACAACTCCCAGGCTCTGACCAAGCGGAGGCCGCGGCCTGCAAGCGCCAAGAGGGGGACGAGGCGCAGGATGTTGAGCCAGGCCCCCGCGGGCTGGGCTGCCAGGCGGACCCGCTGAAGCCCAGGCGGAAGAGCCTCGGATGTATGAGGCCTTTCCGCGGTTCAGGGGGTGACCCCGCCAGGCCCTCCTTCCCCTGCTGCCGTTGAGCAGGGGAGGGCCGGAGGAACAGCCCAGCGAGAGGAGACCCGCTCGGGTGCACTCCCGGCCTGGCCCGGCTCCTCCTGGTCTTTTCTCCCCCTACTCCCACCGACGTACGAACGCACACCTACTCCGTTGCAAGTGAAGGGATGTCTTGTGCCAGCTCTGCTGACATGATCGAAAACTCTCCAGTGCTCAACTTCGAAGAAATTGACTACAAAGAGATTGAGGTGGAAGAGGTGAGTCCTGAACTCCTAGTGGGCACGCAGGTGATTTCGGGGGGAGGGGGTGCAGGGGAAGGAACACCTGGCAGCACGAGCCTAAATGAATGTATTCAGAAGACGCCCCTCCTCTTTCCCGTTGTTTCAACGGGACTTAATCCCGTATAGGATTGCAGCCTTGGTGCCTTCAGATAAAACTCGCCAGCAGTGCCGTGGATGTCGTACCTTGAGGATTAATTTCGAAGAGGGGCTGGGGTTCACAGCTACTTGGAAGCTGTCCCCCCCCCTTCCTTATCTGCAGTGTGTTTGTACTTATGCGTTGGTGTGAGAGGGGCTCTTGGGATAGGTTCAAAGTGCTTTTTTCATAAATGGCAGAACTTGATTTTTTAAAAAAATAAATAAAGATCCTGTTGCTAAATCCTGTTGAGCGTGTTAAACAGCTGAGATCATACAGGGTCTCTCAATCCGTGCTCTAGGGTTGCCAACCTCCAGGTGGTGGCCAGTGCTCCCTCTAAGCTGTGGAGTCTTGTGAGCAAAAATTCTACTTTGTGAGCTGCTGGCATTAAAGTTGGGAGCGAGCGATTTGGCCACTGCATACATTAGTTTGCTCTGGAGCCATCCTTCTGGAACTAAGACAAAAATGGGTGAGCCGGAGGCTAAAAAACTGAGCTAGCTCACACTGACTCAGTTTAGAGGGAACACTGGTGGTGGCTGGAGATCTCCTGGGATTGCAACTGGTCTCCAGGGGACAGAGATCAGTTCACCTGGAGCAAATGGCCACTTTGTTAGGTGGACTCCATGGCATTATACCCCATTGAAGCCCCTCCCCAAACACTGCCCTCCTCAGGTTCCAACCCCCCCTCACCAAATCTTTGGCCATTTCACATCCTGGAGCTGGCAACCCTACCATACACACAGCAAACTGTGTCCCATTTAATGGGAATATCGGTGTATTGGAAGATTGCAAGTTAAATATAATAGGCTTAATTGAGGTTTGGTGGGGAGGTTAAGTTGCAGCGTTTGAAACTCCCAAGTAGCATTTTGTATTCCCTTATACTATTGGAAAGTGGGTGGAGGTGGATTGCATCTTGGGATCAAGTGGATATAGCTGAGCTACTTCCTGGCTGCCATAGATGTTTTAAGACTGTTTCATGCATTGTCCTCGTCTCACGTGGGCAAGAAAGCACTGTGTTTAAATTGTTGTTTGCAACAATTCTGCTTTTGTGTAATATGTATGTGCATGCAGGGAAGCTGATTAACTACATCTTTCCAGTGTATGTGGTGAAGTCTGCACATGACTTCTCACACATGATGATGTATGTGTGAATTTCACACATTCTGTGAACTAAAAAACATAAGCCATGAAATTGCTCTGGATTAATCTAGTATCTCTCATTGTCAACCACATCTCCATTTGTGGAGAAAAAAACATAGTTACTCTGGCTTTTTTTTAATATAGAACTACCTATATCTATAAGGCAGCTTACTCAACTATCCCAGAGGTCCCTGGGGTGCTTTCGCATTAAGCAGGCATAAGTCAAGTGGGTGAGAAGTTCTGCCAGGTTTTTACACAATGAAGCCAAACATTCTTTGGATCGGGATGAGTGGTATTGTCACAGTGGAGGTTCTGGTCCCTGAACAACTTGGACAGAGAAAATTCAGGATGGTCATATTTGTCTTTATAGTTATGTATACCATTGCGCTATGCTTATGTGCAGTTATTCCCATTAGGCAGATGTAAATTGAGGGTGAGGATAGCAGCTTCCTCAAGTAATACTTGAATCCTGGGTTTCCTAAGAAGGAGTAGGAGAAAGATAATACATATCCACCCTATTACCATGCTACTGTTTCCACAGCAGAGCTGAATATTTGAGGGTTAAAAGACTACAACAAATTCTACTTAGTGCAGTACTGCCAATATTGAACTTCTAAGACCACACCTGTCTCCTTCCAAATGGCTTGTACAATTTTGTGCAGGAGGCAGTAAGGGGGGGGGAGTCTTAATCTTGTGGCATAGTATATTATAAACACAAATATAAATGGTATTGTAAAGTGTCTAAATTCAGTTGGGGCACCCATCCAGGGAAGTTCCTATGTCTGTTTCTTGGCCAGAAGTTCTGCAGTAAGAATAGTGTGTGTTTAACACAGTAAACTGAGGAAACTTTTGAGGTGGGATTGGAGGAATTGGAGAAAAAGGATAAAGACGATATGGACGATAAGGACAAGGGGAAGCTAAAAAATATGCAGTTTGATAGAACCTGGGCCAGTTGGGTGGTTTGTTTTTTAGTTCATGCTGGAGTGATTTTGAAGGCTTGTCCATGGAGGGCTGCATCATTATTCCAGTACTTTGATATCATATTCATGGGTTACATAGGTTTTAACGGCCCAGCTTGTCTACAATACGACTAAGAATTCAGGATGAGGGCTGCCATGTACCCTTCTCTACAGTGGGATCAAGTACATCTGCAGCTGTGGCTACAGGTTATGTCACCAAGTTGGACGAATTTAGGGGATTGCTCTTGCAGTAGCCACCTGCTCCATCGCTTCTCAGGTGTCCCTACTACCCGCAGTTCTGCACAGCAGGCGGTTCAACTTGCCCCCTTTGTTAGGAGTTTGAGTCATAAGGAGTGTGTAATAGGAAAGCCTGCCACTGCCGGCATGAGTGCCCCTGTGCGGTGGGCCACACCCCCTTTTCGGTGTGCTTTCGAGCAAAGCCCAGGAGGGGACACCCGAAATCCAAGGGGGTAGGTCCAGCCAACTTGCTGTAAAGGGATCTAGTCCCATAAAGCTGAGAGTGCTTGAGGCTTTGTTCTAGAGATATTCCAAGCAAGCAGACTGTTTGTACTTGTGGAATGGTTTTCAGTTCAGTTTTCATATTCCCTGCCAGGGTGCTAGGGCCCCCCCTTTATGGCTCACAATCTGCGTTCAGTTAAGGGCATGGAACATACAGTTCTGGGCAAGGTTGAGAAGGAAAAGGCTGAAGGTAGGATTTTGGGCTCCTTTTCCCATTCTGCCTGTTCCTAATTTATGTGTTTCCCCTGTTAGGAACTGTTCTCAAAAAGGCTCCAGGGGAATACCGCCTTATTCATCAAATGTCTTACCTGAGGGGAGGGTCTCAGTAAATGACTTCATCCCCGACTCTTTATGTTCAGTCAGGTACACTTCATTTGGCCAGGCTGTTCGTGTGGTCTGCCACTGTGGCTCAGGTGTGCCGATGGCCAAATTTGACGTTAGGTTGGCCTTTCGCCTTCTCCCGATGCACCTGGATGATTTTGAGCTGCTGGGCTTTTCTGTCAGCTCCACTGTCATTGTAAAGGGGGGAAGGCAGGTGGCCGCTGGGTGAACATCTTAATGTGCTGGAATGTTAACTTTCTTTCACTGTGCCTTATCTCTTAACTGGGCTTCTGACCTTGGTACCTCGTTCCTGTTGCTTCACTGGGAATTTGAACCCGTTTAGGCGCATTGCAGCTCGTCCTCTGATTGGCCTAATTCCATCAGGGGACCCCACTTTGAACCCTGTATATCTACTCCGCTCCCACCCTGGTAGTTAGATCTAACACTGAATGTATGGACAGATGACCCGCCTTTACTGTACTCAGTAAACTTGATCCTTCTGAAGGAACATTGTTGAGACTGATTGCTGTGGGAATCTGACAGAGTGTTAGATCTACCATAATCCCTGACCCCGTACCTCAACATGAGCGACGAGGAAGGTGGGGGTGTTCCAGTGACCACTGTGGAAGATGTCCCTGTTATGACGAAGGAGACCCCCATCACTACTGGTGCAAGTGGGGGTCTCAACTATGGGAAATCTGGCAAAACCCTTATTCGTGGGCCCATATGTCAGCTGAGACCTGAGAGTCGTGGATAACAACTCCACTGGCCGGGAGCGCCAGCCGTTATGACTACCTCCCCTACCAAGAAAGTGGCTATGGTTTGAGGAGGTATGGTAGTGGAGGCGAAGCTCAGCTGGAACGAGTGAAGTGCCAGCTGCAAGCCCAACAAAAGGAGCTGTGACAGGAGCTGCTTGAGATGATGCTCGAGATACCACATATCATCGCAACTACGGTTCAGTCTGTGGCTGCAGCAACCTGTCGCACCGGCAGGTCCTCCGGGGGGGGCAGGCCCCACCAGGCCAGCAAGTGCCCCTGGGACAGGCACCACCTGCGCTAATACCAGTCCCTGCTGGGCCGGGTGTTCCTGCCAGGCTAGGTGTACCTGCCAGGCCGGGTGTTCCAGCTGGCCCACTGGGGCCGGGGGCCCTGGCAGCCCCAGCGGTCCCAGGATTTGACGGCAGTCCCGAGAAGCCCACTGTCTTCCTGCTGCAGGCGCAGAAGTTCCTCCAAGACTGGGGCCATCTCTTCCCCTCTGACGAGCACCGTGTGGATTACATCGGGTTGAGGCTGAGAAACCGAGCAGCTGACTGGTATGTCAGTCTGCACAACCTACATGGTCCCAAGCTCCAGGAGGTGCAGTCATTCATGTGGGCCCTGAGAAGACAATATGAAGACCCCATGGAAGCAGAGAAAGCCCGCACCAACCTTTGAGCCCTGAAGCAAGGGAATTGGTCAGTGCATGAGTACTCCGAAAAGTTTAAGATGTATGCTGCAAAGATCCAAGGGTGGCCCGAAGCCATGCTCGTGGAGCAGTATTGATTGGGGCTGAACCACCAGATCTTGGAGTCCGTGCTCCGCAGTGTGAACCCCATATCCTTGGTGGCATATCCTTGGTGGCACCGTCTTCAGATGATTAAGATGCACACCCCTAAAGTGTATCTGAAGACCTCAGGGGCAATCCCGAAGACCCCTCGACCGAAGACGAAGGAGCCAATGTGAGACCAGCGGATGTGCCAAGGGCTCTGCCTCCGCTGTGGGGAGGCGGGCCACTATGCTGCTTTCTGCCCCTTGGTGGTCACGCCACTGGTGCCCAAAGCGCTGGAACAGAAGGAGAGATGCCTGTGAAAAAAGGAGGGTTGCGCCCAAAGCTACCTTGGGCTCTCCCATTGGGTGCGTCATCCG